TAGTGACTGCTTAAGTAGAGGGCATTTTTCAAATTAATATTCGACACCCTCATAAGTTTTAAGATATCTCATAGAAAACGTGCACAAACATTTGCGATCTGTTACTCATTTGGTATTAAATCATATCATAATTAAAGTTTATACTTGTAAAAGCAGCATTCATTTTTTAAATCTTTTCAATTCCCAAAAAATTTTAAACCCAACCTGTCGCTGAACTTACATTTACAACCTTAAAATTGCAAGTTGTATATTTTCCGTAAAAAATCATTAAATGCCATACGTTATTATAAAGATGCTATATGGACTTCGAAGAGTTCTGCGGCAGAATCTAACTGTTCATATATATATATATATATATATATATATATATATATATATAGCAGCGAGGAGGGACGACAGAGAATGCGGGTAGATTGATACAGCACTGTTTCGGGCTTATTCTGCCTTCATTCAGCCAATCATAACCCTGACCACCAGCAGCTGAGACCAGAAACACAAACATGCGCACAGACGCACCTGGCGCAGTCGGTCCACCACTGAGGCCTACCAGATGGGTCATAAGCACTTCATCGAACCGAAGTTCATCAGTGCCTCACCACCTGTCATTCTCTGTCGCTGCAGATCGGGTATTTATCAATCAGGAATGGGCGCACACCGATCTATTGGCTTCACAAAGCAAACAAGCTCCGTATGTGTGGCAAAGGTCACGAACAGGCAACCAATTACCAGGCCGAAGTCGGCCAAGTCATAATAGCAGCGAGGAGGGACGACAGAGAATGCGGGTAGATTGATACAGCACTGTTTCGGGCTTATTCTGCCTTCATTCAGCCAATCATAACCCTGACCACCAGCAGCTGAGACCAGAAACACAAACATGCGCACAGACGCACCTGGCGCAGTCGGTCCACCACTGAGGCCTACCAGATGGGTCATAAGCACTTCATCGAACCGAAGTTCATCAGTGCCTCACCACCTGTCATTCTCTGTCGCTGCAGATCGGGTATTTATCAATCAGGAATGGGCGCACACCGATCTATTGGCTTCACAAAGCAAACAAGCTCCGTATGTGTGGCAAAGGTCACGAACAGGCAACCAATTACCAGGCCGAAGTCGGCCAAGTCATAATAGCAGCGAGGAGGGACGACAGAGAATGCGGGTAGATTGATACAGCACTGTTTCGGGCTTATTCTGCCTTCATTCAGCCAATCATAACCCTGACCACCAGCAGCTGAGACCAGAAACACAAACATGCGCACAGACGCACCTGGCGCAGTCGGTCCACCACTGAGGCCTACCAGATGGGTCATAAGCACTTCATCGAACCGAAGTTCATCAGTGCCTC